ATCTACAGTGGCGTCGGATTAGGGCGCAGACATGCTGGGTCACCTGGCCTCAGCCAATTCCGTGTCTCTCTGTGATCCAATGGCATGCGGCAGCCAACCAGAGAAGGACTCGACTGAGGAGCAGTATATAATGAGCGCCGTGGCCAGCGTGGCGGACTCGGATGGAAGGCTCTGGCTCTGATTGGTCAATAAAGCCTGTTCTGTTGAACCGGTCTTTTTCCCATTAGGGCTCGGGTATTCTACAGTGGTGGCAGCTGATGCGTTCGAATAACGCTAATCGAACCCCAGCCCTTTCTCTCCTATGGTCAACAGAAGCGAAGACCATTGAATGCCAGCTGAAATTGTCATGGCGGTCATCCGATGTCCAATAAACTGGATCCATAGACATTGCCCGGGATTAGGACTACTGCATCTGGAGAGGCATTGGCAAATCAACGACGACGACTTGGACTGTGAAAGCCAGCTGGACTGCATCTGCGAAGGACCTTCGATGGATGATGAGTCCTTCCTGCAAGTCTACGAGAGCAAAGTCTCTTGTCAACTAATCGCATGGGCCACAAACCTGCCAGATGTGGGGTGCGGGTACTGTCGAAATGGGTATTTAAACAATCATGAACAGAGCGATGATCCAAGCCAGAAGCTGAGGACAGCTTCACTCTTGAGTTGAAGGCAGTGTGGCGACAGATCAAGGCGCAGACATATTGGACCACCTGGCCTCAGACAATTCTGTGTATCTGCGTTCCAAAGGCATGCGAGGAAGATAAGCAGCGAACCAGAAAAGGACACAACTGAGGTGCAGTATATAATGGGCGGCGTGGCCAGCGTGGTGGACTCGGATGGCAGGCGCCTGACGTGTGGCCCTGGCTCGTGATTTGTCAACGAAGCCTGTTCTCTTTTACTGGTCTTTTTCCTATTAGGGCTTGGGTATTTAAAGTGGCGACGTCTGAGGGCACAGACATATTGGCCCACGCTGGCCCCAGTCTATCCACTGTCTCTCTGCTTTCTAATGGCATGCGGGGAGATATGCAGCCAACTAGATATGGACACTTTGGAGAAGTGGTATATAATGAGCACGTATCGGCCACATGGTATGGTCAAGAAGAAAGATAGGCAAAACGAAGTGCTTTACTGGAGACTGGAACTAGACACAATCTGGCCAGTCGTATGTGGGAAAACAGGGTCTTTATACATCGTTGTCTTGGTCATCCAGTTCTCCCTTGGGTCCTTCCCGAGGAGCTGTATTGGAAAGGGAAGACACGTGTGCGGATTAATTCTCAGTTCCCGGCGCGTCATTCAATGCCCGCGTGATGCCACGCAGCCGGATGTTGCGCCTCCGGTCAAATGACGACGCCGCCACGCTATGCTCATTACCCTCGACCAATGACTGAGTCCCAAGATGGCGACTACTATAGAATACCTCAGCCCTAGTATAAAGGAGGCTGGTAAAACCGATCAGGCTTTATTGACCAATCACAAGCCAGAACCACACGTCGGGGCCAGTCCATCCGAGTTCATGACGCTGGCTACGCCCCTCATTGTAGTTTGCTCCTCGGTTGTGTCCTTCTCTGGTTGGCTGCTTATCTTCCTCGTATGCCATTGGCACACAGAGACAGAGACTAGGCTGAAGCCAGGGTGGTCCAATGTCTCCTCCCACACACACCGCTACACTCCCTTACCCCAAGAAGAAAGCTGTCCCCAGCTTCTGGTTTGGTTTCCCGCACTGTTGATTATTGATAAAATATCCAGTTTGACGCTGCCCGACACCCAACGTCTTGCAGGATAGTGGCCCAAGCAAATAGTAGACGAGAGACTTTGCTCTTGTTGGTCTGCAGGAAGGCCACCTTATCCATCGCAGGTTTATTCTCTACTTGCATTCCAAATGGTTTCCATCTCCTTGTCATCGTCGCTGAGTTGTCAATGCCCCTTCAAACGCAGCAGTCATAATCCCGGGAAATGTATATGGATTTAGTGTATGGGACATTGAATGACCCGTCATGACAACTGTAGATGGCATTTAAAAGTCTTTGCCTCTGTTGACCATTGTAGGGAAAGGGCTGATGTTCGATTAACGTTATTCGAACGCATCCGCTTCCACCAATGTCGAATACCCGTGTCCTCATATGAAGAAGACAGTTACAGCTGATCGGGATGCTGTCCACCACGCTGGCTACGTTGTTCTTGGTGAAGAGACATGTGTAATTCGTCGTTTGGACGACTGCGACAATATCTGTGTTTTTGCTAAAACTTCATATAAACATCAAATATTGATAGTGTCAAGAAACTTGGGATATCATCATTGATGGGAACTGTACTTAAGCAAATAGCATGCTTTTTTGGGAGATCATTAATGCATAAAGTCTGGGCTCCACAGGCGTCATTGTACTGCTTCATACAATTACTGACGGTGTGATAAGTCAAAACGTCATATTTTATTACCCAAAATGTCACATTATAATCAATAATGGTAAATATTGGAGAAATTTAGAAGAAAAGGAAGAGTTTCGCAGGCATTTACGAAAAATTGATGAAACATCGACAGTACTTAGTATTTGCTCCCACAAAGTCAAATAAAGGATAAATAGAAGTACAATCTCAAATCTATCCGCAATCTACTCTAAGACCCCAATCGTCAAAAAGTAAAACTGAGACAAATCGGTGACAAACATATAGGCATAAATTCCAGAACAAAATAAATTTGGTCTGGCACCGAAGATTAATCTAGTGAAATTTAAGTGAAGTACATAGTAGTATCTGCCTTAAAACTACTCGTTTTATCTCTTTTGGATGTTCATTCTTTTAGAATATTTGACTGCTTTGTAATACCCATTAGCATTCCTCAAATTTCTAATCAAGAATTTCAAGCAGAAATCAAGGTTCCTAAGTAGAAAAATCCTTTGAAAACTTGATTTTTATTAGAAAGCAAATAATTTTGAAAATTGATGCCCTATGGTGTGGAGGGAACGTCGAAAATTTGTGTGCTTCATGTTAGTACTGATGTATTTGTGGAATAGTCAAGCAATGGTATTTGAATTAGTTTAAATGTCATTTTACTTGATGTTTTCCCATAAATAACTTAATCTCCAAACGCTAAGTACTCCAAATGAGACCTTTTTAATTTGGTTAAAAACAATGTGCAAGGTCTAATGCCTTAGTGATAATAACAATTTGAATTTCCATACTAAAGATGTTCATTTCGTGTCAGATATCCGAACTTTCATAACCAATTTCTGCTAACACAAGTTAGCTGAACATCCTAACAATGAGATCAAACTTTTTGACTAAAGCGCTTGCCTATCTTTTTATAATTTCTTAAAATCTCTCGGCAGCATTGAATTTCGTTGATAAATATTTGTCATTGATTTGATGACACAATACCTTGTAAATACGCAATATAATATGATAAAATTGTGACTATTTTTTGCTTTGGAGATCGAGCTGCCAATTGTGTTCTACTTCAGGGGGTTTAGGTGGTTTAATAATTTTATTTTAAAGGAATTGTTTTTATAGACAACATATGGTATCTATTTTGTTTTACTAGTTCGTTTGTTGTCCTTGGTTTTACAAATGGACAGTAAGGGTGAGAATCATTTTACAAATACTGGGTACTGCATCGTTGCGTTTTCATTAAAAGTAGTTTTGAACTTGTAGAACGGCTTTGTAAAAAATGAGCATCGTAGTGTTCCAGTAGTACCAGCATAGGATTTTCCTTGTCATGTTGATGGAAATAGATGTTATTTACGGTGTCTAATTTATTCTTTTTATCACTTGCTTGCTTCCCATTTTACATAAGTACTAATTCAATGGATATGCGGCCTAATTGGTCGATCATCTGAGCTGCCGCAATTATGTGCTAGAACCTCATTTGTAATACTACTTTGGTTTAAAAAGTGGCGGAAGTGGTTTGACAAAGCAATTAATAATATGTAGTACTTGTTTCTTTTTATTTAAGCTAAATATCAAAACAGGACTACAAGGTGTGCTTACGATTTGTAAAGCCCTAGTTAGTAGTGTCTTTCCTGGTCCTTGTTTTTTGTCTTTTGTTCTTATTTTTGTGCTGGTATTGATGTATTGTGTTATATTAGTGTATCAATTTTTCTGCATAGACATGCAGACTACTGCAATGTGGTGATTTTTTGCGGTTCCCCTAAACTACACTGGTGATTCGGACATGTGTATTAAGTTTCCAAATAAAACTTTGTCGAAAAAGTTTGTCCTAGCTTACCTTGTATTGGACATTACTATTTTGCCATTCATGTTCTTTTGATAGGCATCTTTAATAGCAATAAAAAAGTCCACGATTTTAGATGATTATTTTGTTGTGGAAAGAACGTGTGGCGCTACGTTATATTTATCCGATTGGTATGACCAAATTGTTGCTAAATGATCTTTAACTGCCTTGTTTTTTACCGTCCTTACACCCATAATGTTAGCAAAAATATAGGCTTAATTTTGTATGTTGTAATTTTTAACACAAAGTCTTGCCGTTTTTATTTGTTTAATTATCACATAAGCGACTAAAGTGCCCTCTTCATGCACACACTTAACAAACTGCAACATTAGGCTTGTTCGTATTTTGCGGAGACGATTTTGTAAAGCTCCACTGGCAGCGCTTATCATGATTTATCCGTTCTCGTCTTTCGCTCTTAGGAATACTATGATTGATGCATTTACGTTTACGCAATCCTCGATCTTCCATGGAAATCTAGACCTAAAGTGTTAGCAATGTTCATGGTTTTGATCTTTAATGATCTAACGGTAAAACTAGTGGCTCTGCCAGAGGTAATGAATATCTGAAGCGAGGCTAGAAAGTTAGAATCTTTTTGTACTGAATAGGTTACATTTGTCGCATTTGCCAGAACATTCGTTGTCTTTTCTGCTATTTCGCTTAAATTACTTTTTTTTTCAAGTAATTAAGCCTCGTCGTTTCTACTTGATTGATGAGTTGGAAGCTGGGCAAAAGGGTTCAAACGATGGAACAATTAGTTGGGGCCTTGAAAACATTGGAGATTTTTCCCTCACAAATTGGAACGGCATGATCGTTGGACCAGCCAAAACCCCATATCAGAACAAAATGTACAATTTACAAATCATTTGTGGCGAAGAGTACCCAGACAAGCCTCCCGAAGTGAGGTATTATTTTTTTTCCTGAATATATCCGAGAAATGTTTTTTGCATAGTCGGCTGTAGAAGGTGGGTTCAACTTCAGTAAACCTTACTAGCTGTTTGCATCAGAGTTCAAAAATTCATATGTCTCTAGATATGACAAATGAAAGAATCTCTAAAGTTGTTCAAATATCCATTTTAAGTATTCCGAAAACTTAACAAACTGTCAACAGTTTAGTATTTTTTATTTACATAAAATTTAGATAAGTAGTAATCATTCTGGGAGTAGAAGAAAGCCAGTTGTGAAAGATTAGTCCGTTTATTCTTCCGCTGTGCCAGGTTGCGTCATATTTTTTGTGTTGTTGGTTGTAAACAAATTGTACGTACAACAGCCATTGAGTGAGTCTATGGACAGGACTTGACGCTGAAGTTAAGCATTCGGATTTAAGAACAACTTAATGTTGGCTTGTCAATAACGTTCTTGTGCCTTTCAAGGCCATTTTACTCGAGCGCTTTGTTCGTAAATCGCTTTCTTAGAAAAGCTTATGTTGTATGATGAATCGTGTAAAAAGCTCTGTTTTTTGCTGCTGTGACCGTCGAAGCGATCGCCATTGATGCGTGTCTGTCACCAATAATCGTTGCCACTGTCGGTCGTCCTCTTTCAACGATTCGCGGAAGCGCGTAGCCCACTTCCTGGAAATTCGATTACACCAGCGTGTGTTCTAATGATCGTTTGTCAATGGACTTACGACGTGACCGTGATCGTCTTGGTTGAGGTGTGTTAGTGCATCTGACGCTAGTTATGGCTGTACGGTAAAACGTTTTTAGCCAATGGTATCTCGAATATGCATCCTTCCAATACATCTAGTGACTCGATCGTATTGTAATGGTGAGGATTCTTTGGATTGTTGGTCAAGCCCTTGTGAAACCCCAGAAGTGCGGGTTGACATGGTCATTCCTAACGTAATGCCTATGATCTCTAAATAATGTTTGGTGGTTCTAAATTCCACTATCCGGTACGTGTTTTAGTTCTTTCCAGATGTTTTCCCTAGAAAGTATCGCTTCCAATTCACTCATGCTCCGCAACATCTGTGACTGAATTTTTCGTTAATGCAAAATTATCGTGTTCGAGGTTTTAATCCAATTACAAAGTTTCTTCTCTTATAGATTCATTACACGAATTAATATGGATGGAGTTGACAGTACTGGCCAGGTATGTATTACTACATAGTTAGACCCGTTTATTAAGATGTGCCACCTTCTGACAAGTTGATAATCATTCACAGTAAAGCCCCCACAGATTTGTGGAAATGTCAGTGTAACCACGCGTAATCTATACTGAATCTATACCTCCGACTTCTAATGTGGGCAAATTCCGTAAAAGAGGTGGACTTGGAAACTGTTCAGAGCATTCTAGTGTCGAAAGTTTAAAAGTATTTGTTCCTATGTAAACCCCCGAATTTATTTTGCTATCACTTCCTTTGATGGTTGCCCTATGCTTTCATGTGCAATGTTTGTCTACCTATCATTTGTTATTCGGTTGTTCATCATTTTCCACTTTTTTCTTTTCACTATTATATTGGTGTCTTTTTGGGTGTAGGGGATTCCAAATGGGCGAAATTGGCCTGATGTGTAGATTTCGTGTTTGACAGCCGAAAGCGTTCAATTTTGACAGTTTAGAATCTGTGCCTTAACAAGGATATGCAATGTGCCATTATGGCTCGTAAAGTCAATTTAGAAGTGAAACAACGAGAAACGGGTACTTTTTTAAAAGTCATATTTGTGTCCGCTCGATGAGGTTCCGTTTTTTTGCCGATAGAACTCTTCAAAGAGTATTATTCAAAAACCGTGGATTGAATGCATAGTTCATTTGCTTTAATGCACTGCCTTTCTCTCATTCAAGGCGCTTGCGCCAGTTAACCAAGACGCGCCTAGTGTAGTTATCCATTTAATCTACCTTGAAGTATCCTTGTCCTTTAGGTTGACAACGTCAAGGTGCCATCTCTTCGAAACTGGCGCCGTGGCATGTTGATTCGCAACGTTCTCTTCGATCTACGAACTATGATGGCTCAGAAAGAAAACTCCAAACTGTCCCAACCGCCGGATGGCTCGTGCTACTAGGTTTGCCTTCCCTCGTCTTTTAGCCGCTTTGACCTAAGGCATGATTGTGTTCCCCATTCCTTATGAGCCCTCTTTCCTGTCTCCGCCAATGTTATCGTGACTAGGCGCCTTGCTGCAACGCTTCTAACTTCCTACCGACACTTCGGTGACTCCCGCCGCTCATCGTTCCATTCGTTTTCACACTGAAATACACTCTGTATTGCATAAGCGCGTTCATTATTGTCTGGGGCTCCGAAAAATCCAGTGACTCCACAAAGCATACCTCCCTAAACTAGGATTAATTTTATAAACTCAAGCCGCCTCATTGGGACATCCACTATGGCTTAAAATTCTTGCATAAAGGTTAACTTGGTGTATTGAATCGATTATTTTCGAGTCAATTCTCTGGGTCTAAAAATTAGTAAAGTCAACTGATTGCCAATTAAAAGGCACATTTCGAGATGCACTTGTGCCAAACCGCATATTTCCCTCGTTCACCTAATTACTTGTTTGTTGATTGCTGTAAAATAACCAGGAAATTGCCGCGCCTTTGGGAAATGCATTCACGCAACTTGGTGACCCGTCTTGTCGCATGTAAGATTGGCGGGACGGACTCTTCCTGTTGCAAATTATTTTTCAACAACATTGTTACAGCTGCCCTACTGTGTACGAAAAGTACTTGGGCGTTTTTTCACTAAGATAAATTAACCAGAACCGTGTTAGACAATCTAAAGTCTCACAAAAGTTGTGACAGCCAGAGCTTCGTGCATGACGGTGTTTATCTGTTTCGTGCCACTAAATTCTGAACAAGGATGGAGTCAGCGGAGGAACAGAGGGTCGAGGACTTGACCAAGTCGTCGTGTGTGTGTGCGTGTGTGTCTGTGGCGTTTATGTATTTATAGCTCAGATGTGTGAAACAGCGTGAGTCATAGATGGGCTAACATCGGGACATAGGTGTGAGGATAATCGCAACTGTGAGGGGTCAAGTTGGTTACTCATGGTCATAAAGAAGAGTCAATGATAATTCTGAACAAAGCGAGATACGTTACAATAATACCCTGAATATAAGCATCAAATATTCAAAGATTTCCGAAGGGACTCAATTACCAATCATTTTAGTATTTATATTACCGATATAATTTGAGGCAATTGGGTGCTGGATGGAAGGAACAAATAGTGCATTTACAAAGTCCTCCAAATCAGCCAAGTAAATTATACAATTTAAGTAATGACAAGTAATTTGTGTACACTGGAATAAGAGGGATTAATGAATATGTGTTGTACATTGCAGACAGACAAACTTGTTCTGGACTCGTGTAACCACCAGTCCAGTCATTTACGATTGCGTAATGTGTCAAAGCGAACCTCGAGATCTCGTAATATGCGATCACTTTCGAAAGTACACGGATTCTACTGCAAAACATCGCGTCTGTCTGTGATTGAAACCAACTGCCCGTATTCATTATTTACTAAGTATGCGCAGATTGGGTGCATTTCCAATCACGCAGAATGCCACACGATTTTAGCCAGCCTAAAACATTGACTACCATTTCACTTTCTATTGTCTTCGCCTCTCTCGGCAGAAGACTGCCCACATGTTTAGAGTCATGAAACTAACTTCTAAAATGTCACGCCAATGCAGTCCTGTGTTACTATTTCGGCTCAGGTTAGACGAGAAAATTCAGACGAGTTAGGATGAGCTACTTGTCACAGACTACATCAAATGACGGAATGCTCTACAATTTCGTAACAATATTGCGCGAGACATGTCAATATCAATCATTAACATCGCTGACATTCAACGCCCATTTGCATAGCTGTGGGTACACTTCAAAATCCTAGAGTAAAACAGCGGACCTCGTCAAGTCATTTTATGATCCCACGAGTTGTAAAAACATGTGCTTGGTCGTATTGGCTGGACGTTTTCATTTTTTGGTTCTTTCTATGGATGTAATTCCTACAAGCACTACCTTCATCATAATATACGCGGAATATAGAATCTGAGGCCAAGTAGTTGATTGAATCAGCTAGATGGATGATATGCTGGCAACCAGTTGACAAACCTGAAAATAAATACATGTATTTTGGCGAACCCTCTATAGGATTTCATGATAGGTAGACAGATAGACTACATTACAAATATCACTGAACTACAGCATGCTCACTTTGACTAGAAGAATAGTAGGGCTGAGTTTTCGCTCGCAGTCACTGACATTCTAGTACAAATCCAGCTGTTATGACATTACAATGCAACATTTTTTGGTGCGCTATGAAACCCAGTCACTTCAAGTCGAGAGCAAGAAGGTGACTCGCATAAACCGGTTTAAGAACAGTTGATAAAATTGATGAAATTAGGTATATTCATTGTGTTCCTGAGCTAGTGTTTTATCAGTTATATTACCTTAAGTAATTGAACTGTTTATTTGGGTTAAAGAAAGTCACATCTGACGAAACACGAGACGTGTTGAGATCCCGTAGCCGAAGATGATTAGCAAGACATCCGCCTGATTCATTGATCGTTGAATCCGGGTCAGAGTACGGCTAACCATCACATGATGCGTTGTGTATCATGGGAAGCTTTTTTGGATAAAAGATTTTGTGAAACCAAAAATAACGCTAATCGCAAGTATTGTGGCGTCAATTGAGACGCGCATCGTATTATGACTTGTAGTATCCATTGCACAATTGAAAAGTAAAAAAACAGAAACGTTATGTGTAACATGGAACATTTGTTTTATTCTATAACTGAATGAGTTTTAGCATGAAGAGACTAAGACCACCAAGTTTATTTAACACTGACATGTTTGCGAATACCATCAGCTACATTGAGTCTTTTTATCTAAATATATGAGATCATTTGAAGAATCAAGAAGTCGATGTCCAGAACAAAGCATTTGAAAATCTTAGGATAGGAATTAAAGTAGAAATCAGTCCACAATAGCCGCATTGGTTATTTATTTTGATGTGATGCTGATTTTATAGTATATACTTTGGATATTTACCTGGAAAAGGTTGACGTATTTTGAAACTAATGGGAAAGAAATTCTGATATATTGATTGCGTCACGCTTACCATGCCTTTTAGGCCTTTTTCGAATTTCAATTGAAAAGGTAATGTTCAATTAATATCTCCTACCGATCACGTAATGCCTTCTACATACACCTATATTTCAATGTCTTCGTGATTTTGATTGTATATGTCTTGGGTTCCTTGGTTCTCCTATCTCGCACGATGAGCTTTTTGAGTAATAATATGACCTGTGTTTAATTCAACAATCACTCTCCGCTTTTACAAATCACTTCCATATCCGCAGTCAGCAATTTTTCCAAATGCCGCAAATTAACACAGTTTTATCTGTCTGAAAAGCATAGCAAGGAAATAGAAGTTTATTCAATGTAGCAGACATTAGTCTTGGAGGATAAGTAGCTATTGCTAAACCTTTAAGCTGATTCATTCCCGTAAGTTTATATCCGGGAGCTAATAAAGTGAGTCCGCGTTGATGTGGAATATTTAATCATTTTTTAACCTTACCTTAGAGCAAAAAATCGGTAATTTAAGCATTTGGCATTACTTTAATAAGTTATTATTTTGCTTTATTTATCGGCTTTTTGCTTTCCTCTTTGTGAAAATTAATTAGCATTGGCACCTTTTTCAGGTTTGTAGAGAAAATTCATATTAATAAAAAATATGAATTGTGCAAAACCCAAAAACTTTCATCCACAATTTCTTGACCATGAATATATTTAAATACACCAGTGTGTAATTGCGGCTTGCAGATCACAATTTTAAAATGAGTACTGGTAACCTCGAACGTTACAATTTAATCACCAAAGTTTTTTTTGACAGGATTTACAAAGCAAGTTTTATATTTAAGGGGTCATTATAGAGATTGTCCTGCCTTTTGTCCAAATCACTTTTCTATTTTAAATAAGGGCTATTACTAGAAGCCTTTGCCAAGAGGCACAAAGTTAAAGAATGTTTTACCGTGTAGTGTGGAACTGATATAATTGCATATTAAAAAATAATTCCGATTTATACACTGTGCTTCAGAACAGGTTTGCTATAAGTTGAAATCTGTCCAAAACCACCAGTGGTTCTTCCACTTATAGTACCGCCAGAGCCCTTGCGTCACATCTGCCTCCTCAGGTGTTATCGTAAGTACCGGGAAGATAACTTAGCAAGAATATTTTTCTCTATTGGAAATGAACGATTTAGCTGTTATTTCGTTAACGCGCCCCACATTCACGCATGTTCTACTTGAATTAGTTGTGCCTGTCAATATATCTTCTTGGTTGAATATCTCGGATTGTGAGGTGGTTCTACCGTCATTTAGTCAATTTCATGATAGAGGTTGTTGTTTGTTGCCATGTTAATGTTGAATTTGTGCTTGGATTAGTTTAAATGTGCGTCAACACCGGCTGATAGTAACGGTGCAGTTGCCGTCAACCAAATCTTGGTTTATTCCTCATCAGTTTTGTGATTTGCTTCTTGGTTTAGCATTTGCATCTTGATCTTTTGCTAGAGCTTTGCGTGAGATCGTTTTTTCTCTTTACAAGTTTTATTTTAGAAGGTTCTGTGGTCTGGTTGAAATTGTGTCGGTGATGCATTCAAGTGTTATCGCGAAAACTCAAGAAACAGCAAGTTAAATAATACACTAACTACAAAAGAGTCAGAACGTAGAACTAGGTTTAATGAAGTGTGGGACACTAGAGCGGAGTTATTATTTTGAGTAATGTGATTTTTTCGCTTGCAAACACATTTGCTGCGCGTGTTATACTTGTAACTGCACGAGAATTGGTTAATAATCTTGCCTGAAAGTGCCGTTACCACACGCAGCTCTAGACAGGTTTTTTGCCTGTCACACATTTAGGTTATGTTTGAATTGAGCTTGAAGGGGAAATGATGCAGTCATTGATGCCGGAACACTAGGTCGGGTGGTTGGATTGTGGTCGCTACTAGAGCTTACCTTGACATGCTGCTACACCTCTCAATTCACTATGGTGTGATCGCCATGGTATGAT